TTCCCTGCCGGATTGGAGGGAGATTTGGCATCTGCAACTCCCAGCTCGCAACTCACATTTCTTGCCCCACGTTTCCCTGTGCAGTCCAGAGCTTGACAGGCAAAGCATTTCAGAGAGGAGGGCTGGCAAAAGTAATCATAATAATTCTGACAGTTCTTGGCAGGGCAAGGAGGATTGCTGCTCTCTTAACAAAACAACAAAAAAAGGGGCTTGATATTTGTAAGTGACATTTTACGGACTGCTATTCCTCAGCCAGCGACGAGGCTAAGCCGCCACTGCACTGACAGTCTGCGTCGGCATCGCAGGGGGCCCCCCGCCCCCCCGCGGGGGGGGCCGGGCCAGGGCCCTGGGCAGCCAGCGGGTGCCAGCCGGGCGGGTGCCAGCTCAGAGCTGCTCCAGCCGGCTGCGGGCAGTGCAGCGAGGGTGATGCCTAGGGATGTGACTCCCCTGCGAGCTGGGGGCCGCTGCTGCCCATCAGCACCGGGCTGGCTGCAGAGCAATGCCCCCTCACCAGGCACAGAGCCCCACGTGCCGCAGGCGAAGCCCTGCGCCAGGGCAGACCTTCCCTCCCCGGCACAGCCAGGGCCAGGCACCGCTTACAAATCCTCCGTGCCGTGCTGGTGGAGCCGCCGGCCTCGGGGGCGACGGGAACAGCCAGCGCTCGGGGCAGGACGGTTCCTCCCCAGGAGACGCTGCCCCCAGGGTGGGGAGAACGGGGGAGACCCGGCTTCCCAGGTGGGAGAGGGGAGGACGTGCCCAGATCTGCTAGCATGACACAGCAGGGTGACCCTTCCTCTCCGCACCAGAGCGGCTCGCAGTGCACCAGGAGAGCCGGTGAGCATGTGGGCCCAGGGACCCACGTTGCCGTTCATCTCTTTCCACGCGGGCGCAGCTCAGACCGGTCCCACGCAGAGCTGGGAGCACAAGAGCCACAGGGGACAGGGACGGGACAGGACGGGGATGGAACAAAACAGGGTGGGGGCACGACCAGACATACTTTTGCATTTGCCCTGGTACATCACTTCGAGGTCGGGGTGGTCTCTGCACTTGGCCGTCAGCAGGTCGCACTCGTCTCGGTAGGTGTAGCCGTCGGAGCCGCAGACCTGCAGCTTGCGGGGCAGGCTGGAGCAATCGGGGGCGCAGGCGCACTGGGGACGCCCGTGCTTCATCTTGCAGACCTTGTCAGGGCCGCACACCACCCCCTCGCAGCTCTCTGGGGAGAGAGAGGAGCAGCACGTGAGGAAGCGGCAACGGCTGCCACCCACAAAGGAAGGATCCATCCTGCCCGGGCTGGCCAGCACCCCGGTCCCACGGCCACGCCGGGTGGCACCGACCAGGATGGGGCCAGCATCAGCCCTCAGGGTCCCAAATCCCTCCCGGGGTCACAACATGCATGCTGACGCCGCGCTGCCCCGAGCAGCATCTGGATCTGCTCAGCTCCGCCAAGGAGCAGGTCGTTGGCTGGAGCTCCGCACGATCATCCAGCACTCGCCCCAGCCCTCCATCAGCACCAGCTAACTCATTTCTATGTATTTATTTTTTGGAAGGAGACATTTCTTTTTCTTGTGCAATGGAAAATCTATCTCCGCAAGGCCCCAGCTCCTCCAGAAGGAACTGGGCTTCGCAAGTTGTCTGGGCAATCAAGAACTCGGCTTCCACCAGACAATACCCAGCCCTGTTTCGCTCCGGGCCTCCGTGACTTGAACACAAGAGCGGGACGCAGTAGCGAGTGCAGATCCCCAGACAGGCGGCTGCTTTGTCCCCTGGGTCGCCTCCCGGCCAGCACGGGGGCCGGGTTCAGAGGGTCCTGCCAGCGCCGCCCCGGGGCCATGCTCACGCTGGCGGGGATGGAGAGGGGCTGCCAGCTCCGACCAGGGGCTCATCCCGGACACCGGTGCCTCTGCGAGGAGAGGCAAAGGGGCCAGCGCCCAGCCCGTGGCGGGGACAGGGGCTTCTGGCTGGGGTGACTGGAAGCTCCTCACTCCCCCAAAGCGCACACACAGCTCTCATCCCAAAGGGACCCTTTGCCCCTTGAGCTCCCCGGGACGCAGGCGATCCTGTGAGTTGGGGGTGCAGGGCTGCCTCTGGATGCAGGGATGCAGCTCCATCAGCAGCACCCATGGGAGGAAAGCTGGGCAGGACCCAGAAACTTCCCGAGACGGGGATTCGCCCCCAAGCAGGAGGGATTCCCGCAGACAGGGCGTGTGCTGGGAGCTGTTGGGAGGTACAGAGGGGGATTTCCCTGCAGGAGACGGGTCACTTTGGGAGACAGCAGCAGGGGGGAAGGAGGAGGAAGGGGAAATTCCCTGGCTGCTTGGCCTGGCTCTCCCCAGGGGAAATTCCCTGGTGGGAGACAGCCAGTTTCCCAGTAGCTGGGGCCTGTCCAAGGGAAGGGGAGAGTGGCAGGCTGAGCCCCAGCAGCATCTCTGCTGAAAGCCACAGGGATGAGACCCCGGGACAGAGAGGCACGACCCGCACCCCAGGGCCGCCGGAGCCAGCGGGACCCTCGCTGCCACCAGCACGGCGGGGTCTGGCCATCCGGACTGTCGCAGCAAGAGAGGGAGGCAGCGGGACCATCCGCCCGTGACCCTGACCCCACAGCCTGGCTCTCCTCCCCTGCGCCGGGTTCCTGGCGGGGGACACCGTGTCCCCAGCAGCTGGAGCCAGGAATTTCACCTCCCCACTGGAGGCCCATTGTGGAGCCCCCGGGGTCCGGCCAGCACCTTCCCGTGGGGCTCGGCCGCCCCGGCTGCTGGCGCAGGGCTGGTGGCTGCAGCCCACTTTATCCTGGAGTAACCTCTCCTGGCCCCGTGAGCCCGGGGAGTGGGAGCACAGCTCAGCTCATCCGCCCTTTTCCAAGGCCTCCAGCTCACTGGAGCCCGGTGGGGAGCAGCACCAGCTCCATCTGGATGGGACAGGCAGGGGCTTTCTGAAGGGTGGGGAGTTGCGGTGTACGTGCCGGCCGGGCTCTCCGGCGGTTTCAGCAAAGGTTCTGCTCCCAGACCCTGATGATCCCCAGGAGCCACAGCCCCCACTACAGTTTGTGGCCACCGGTAGCCCCTCGTGTCCCCCAGCCTCCCCACAGAGGTGAGGGTAGACCCTGGGGACGAGGGCTGCCCGTCCCCACCGTGCTCTGCCCCAGGCACAAGGGGAGCCACACTCCCCGGCCAGCCCCTGGAGAGGGTCCCGGTGCTCCCAGCACCCACCGAGCAGGGCCACCGCCGCAGGGCCAAACCCGTGGTGGGAGATGGGGCAGAAAGCCAGGGCCAGGATCTCACTCAGGCTTCAGCTGGCACCGGGTGCGACCCCGAGCCTCGCCAGCACGGGGTTGAGGAGCAGCCAGGGCGGCGGCGCCAGGGGGTGCAGAGGGGCTGGAAGAAGCGGTTTTGTTAAGAGCCTTTTCCCCCCCCCCCCCTTTAAGCAAATAACAACGTGACCTTCCAAAGACCTGCTCCTGCCTACTGCGGTCAGCAGGTCCTCGAGCATGTTCTCACACGGCCACGCAAGTGCGACTGGGGGATCCGCGCCTCTGGTGCGCGCCAAAACATCTGGCGGGGCTGGAACTCACAGCTGGAGAGTTTCCACTTCTGGAACTGCCCGTTACATAAAGCCATTTCACACACACGCTGGGAGGAGGCAGGGGGAGCAGAGGGGAAGAAATAGATCTTTTTTCCTTAAAAAAAGCTGAAGACGTTTCCCTCTGAGCAGATCTGCCAAGGGCAGGGGTGGGAGGCCCCAGCCCCAGCCGAGTTAACCTGGGAACAGGGAGCCCCAGCTTGCCTCCTTGCACTCGGGCTTGCCCAGCCACAACCCAGGTCACACATCCCGCTCCACAGAGTAGGATACAAAAATACACACAAAGTGAGAGCTGCCAGGGGACAGAGGCTGTTCCACGAGCCCCGGCCCCATGGCAGCATCCATCCCGGAGCAGCAGCAGCACAGGGTCGGCGGTCCCTGGGGTCCCTGTGCCGTCCCAGACGGCCCAGGAGGCACTGAAGAGCCCTGCCTGGTGAGGGGCAGCCCAGTCCCATTGCTGCCGCTTCACCCGGAGCTGTGGGCTCCGAGCATCCTCCCCGAGGAGAGCTCAGCCCTGCCACAGCCCGCTCGCCCCACAGCCGTGCTCACCTTTGCAGGGGTGGCAGGTCACCAGCCCCAGGAAGCCCAGCAGACTGATCTTGTTGCCTGGGTAGGTGTAATTAGACCAAGCCACATCCACGTTGCCGTTGGCACAGCATTCCTCCCACGTCACGCCCGTCTTCAGGATCATGGTGCACTTGGCCTCCTTCCCCTGCTGCAGCCAGCAGATCCCACCTGCAGAGAGGGCAGAGGGTGAGGGTCCTGCTGCGCTGTGCCACTGTGTGAAGGGCAGCAAGACCCTGGCCGTGGCCAGGCCACCGTGGGGCAGAGGCGTGGGAACTGCACCGGTGCCCGGGAAGGGTCAGCATGGGACAAGTTGGGGAACCTAAAGAGGCTCCGCGCTGGCTCCCACCTCTCCGGTGGCACAAGGGCTGTCCCGGCACAGGCATCCCCGTGGGCCCCTGGCACAGTGTGGCAGCTCTGTGCCCGCGCTGCCGCCTCAGCGCCCCAGGGTTCCAGCAGCCCGGCTCCTCTGGCAACAGGCTTCAAACCCAGCACTGGGACCGCAGAGGCGCATCAGTTATCCCAGCATGAGCAACTGATGCTCTGGGAGATGCCCAGCCAGCAAGCCAGGATGCGGGCTTGCAGCTTACCCCCTTGCCCTGCCCTCCCTGCCTGCATCGCTGCCTAACTCCTGCCTGACCCCACAGAGGGGAGGCTCCAGCCCCCACCACCTCCCCACAGGGACACCCAAAGCGGGACTGACGGGCGCCCGTGCTGCGAGGGCTGGGTCCCCAGTGTGCGCCAGTGGCCCCGCGGAGGGATGGGGACCGTCCCTGCGGCACGGGGGCCCGACGCCCACGGCCTTTGCGAGGAGCAGCCGAGCCACCGGCTGGAGAACAGGGCACTTGACACAGCCCTTGGGACGGGGCCAGCCCAGCGGCATCGGATCCCTCTGAGTCAAAAGCCTGTTTGTTCCTTAACCCCACGAGCAAATCAGTTATATTTTTTTTTTGTGAGTGATTCCTTTGCAATTTCCGCCTCTGCAAACCAGCCTCTTCTGACGCTTATTTGGGTTTATGCTCTCATTAGCTGCATTTGAGGTTTGTTAAACGGCTAAAGATGTGAGGGAGGGATGGGGGAAGGGACGGATCCTGCCAGTGCCGGGCTGCAGTCGCTCCCCTCCAAAGCAGGGATTCACCCTGCTCCAAAGCAGAGTCTGCACCTGCCTCGGACCCCAGATGTGTGTCATCGTCCCCCCCACACACCCGATTTTGGTTTGGCTGCAGCCAGCAGCAGCTCTGCAGGGCGGTCGTGAACGGACCAAACCCTTGGGCTGCAGGAACCAGCAGCCTGGACACCTCGAAGCACCAGCCAGGCCAACACACCTCTGCCATTGGTGGGTTTATCCCCCCGTGGATTTGTCTAATTGCTCTTTCAAGCCCATTTTTCTTTTACAACACCCTGTGACGCCAATTCCCCCACAGCACCAAGCTCCCTGGGAGCCACGTGCTGGCTTTAGACCGTGCTTGCCCCGCAACCCACTGCCCATGGGCACAGCCACGCGCAGAGCGATCCCACCCGCAACGGGACAGATCCACGCACCCACTGCCCACGCGTCCAGCCTGGGGCGCCCCCCTGGCCAGCGGCAGGGGGCCACCCGCCGCCCCCCGAGCCACGCCAGGGCGCAGGGACCCTGCCAAGGGATGTGCCTCAGGCACGGGGGACGGAGCCCACCCGCCCTGCGAGCGGACCCAGGCGGCTGCGGGCCGAAGGCGGCCAGCGTGGGGCTCTCAGGACACCCCATCCTCGGCGCCTCAGCTGCGAGGGTGCAGCACTCCCACGCTCAGCGTGGCTGGAGGACCCAGGCTCTGGCCAGGGGGGACACAGCGTGTCCCTGCCCGGGGCCTTCCAGTGCTTGTACTCAACCCTGCAAAGCAGCAAGCAGAAATCCCGTGGGCTGGGACGATGTCAAACTCGATCCCGGGGGCTGCAGCAGCACAAGGGGCCTCACAGGAGCCTCCCCCGTCCTTCGGGGCATCCTGACCTGCCGCTATCCGGGGAGCGCAGTGCCTGCCCACACTGGCAGGGAGACGAATGGGACCCTGCGAGGGGGAAGATGGAAACTCCAGTGCCGCTGCAGGAAAGCCGATGCTGGCAGTAGCAGCCACAGCTCCGCAGCGCTGGGAAGGGCTGCCGGGGGCCCAGAACGGGGGCCCGCCTGGGTGCCGGCATGGCTTCCCTGCGAGGGAACAGCTACCAAAGAGCCCAGACGCCTCCCAGGCGCCCACGAGCGCTGCCAGCACCGTCAGCCGAACCGGGAGGGGTTCGAGCTGCAAACTCCACACCCAAATCACAAACCGGCCGCCGTTCCCCGTTCTTCCGACCCGGGTCACAACGCGCCGGAGCGCAGCTCTCCTGCCCCAGCCTGGGGAGAGGGACCCCCTCTCAAGCAGCCGCCCCGGGAGCGATGCAGGGCGGCTGGCAGGGCTGGCCAGGCTGTTGCCCCGGTGGCCGCCATCCCAGGGCACACAGGGGTGCGGGATGCCGGGGTCGGGCACCGGCGCTGCCGCGGT